GGGGGGGGGGCTTGTCGTGATTTGCCAACTTAGGACAGCGAGATTTGTAAAACTCGAGACTCCGAGCCAATTCTTAGAGGAGAGGCCTTTGTAACTATTGATTCGTCTGCATTCCCATAATCGTACAAAGTCGCAGCGCTACAATAGTAATCGTCATCGCCGTGTAGTGCCTCGACACGATGCCCGTGATTAAGCGCTCGTGACCGTAGGGACGACGAGAGTGGGACTACCCCCGAGACCGATCGTCGAAGAATACGAGAAACGTTCATAAGGCGCTTATGCCATTTTTTAGTTTTGAGTTGTAGACGTTGATTGGCGCGCGCTCCGCGCGTCTCTCTCTCTCTATACATATATATCGTCGTCGGGACGACGCACGTTGCGGTGGACGGTGGACAATGGGCAAGAGACGCAACAGTCACCGAATCTCGGTCGGCGTTGAAGTTCAAAACTGACGCATACTGAACGATTCGAGTTGCGCTTTAAACCGGTTTGCAACAAAAGTCATGCGCTCTCCGCGCGCGCGAGACGTATACGTATCTAGCGTGTATAAGCGGCTAGAATAGATCTCTTGGAAATAAGTAAAGAAGAGAAAGAGAGTTGAGAGAGAGAGAGAGAGAGAGAGAGAGATGCGTCGAGTGTAGGACTCGCGGGTATGCGAACCGAAACCGAACCGAAACTCGGCGAACGAAAACCGACTCCGCGGACTCGGCTTGATGTACGATCCGCTCGGAAATGGCTGTCGTCGGGCGGCCGCGTCCCGATAAATCTTCCGGCTTTTTAACCGCGGACGGACTTGTCGTTCGCGTATAAACGCATCGTTTTCATCAATATTTATGTCGCGAGAGGGGGAAACCGCGGCGGGGACCAATTGGGCCTTCTCTCCCGTGCCCAGGGTTGAGACGTCGCCGGCCGTCGTGCGTCGACTCTGCTCGGAGTCTCTCACGAAGTCACACAGGCTCCCGACTCCGCGGGCCTCTGTGTCTCTCTCTCCGATAATAAAGATATCCATTATGCTCGCCGCGGCTTTTTCCCCGGGCGGCGGAACGAGCGCTCTGTGTGTTTTGCCGTGTCCCCGTGTCTCTTCCCTGGATGCTTCTCCGCGTGCGCTGCATGTGTGTCTGTTGCCTGCCTCCGCCATTCGTTCCAGCTTCCGCGCTGTGCAGCGAGCGGGATTCGCGATTTACGCGCGTCGACGATCTCGCCCGGAAAGGGCGATTAAAATGCAATCGGCGAAAGGAACGCGGTCACGGAAGGATAATGACGGAATTCTGGATTGCAGAACAGGATTTCGCGTCGTGATGGTGGACGCCGTCTTAAATAGAGATCAGAGATTTCGAATTAAAATGTTGAAAAGTTGAGCGATGATTGTAATGTCAACGTAATATATAAAGATCCGATTCGTCTATCTGCTCCAGTTTATCTACACATTGCTAATTTATTTATTTATTTTTTTTTATTACTCTTGTATCTCAGGATTTTTATTAAATACCACTGTAACCATATGGTTGCATCAAGTGTTACATTGCAACTAAATTGGTCACAGTAAATTTCTTCTCAAAGAGGAAATAATTTTATTCTTAATAGAACTAATGAAAGACGAGTATTACATTCTGCTTGTTATTCTCTGCTAATCTCGACTAACGCGGACCTTTTCCGCGAGAGCGGTTGCGCAATCACGCGTCGTTCACCCGGAAAAATACAAACGCGGCTGTAAATCCTGAGAAAATCGTGTGACTCGCGTGTGAGGCGAGCCGCACGTTCGCGATAATAAAGCGTATCATCAAAATAGCGCGCCTTCTTCCGCGACGATCAGCGGCCGCTTCCGAGAAATGACAACCTAAATTGATCGTTACCGCACGTCGTATTCTATTATCGCAGTTTATAGTTCGCGTTACGATCCTAAAGAACTAATGCGTAACGCCGTTTAAGGGCCGATAATCCATCGTAAGACGGAGATCAGCAAAATATTCGGCGTCACTAAGTGCCAATATCAACACTCTTAATTACGATGGTAATAATCCTTAATTACGACGTAAATCAATGTTCACGATTGTCCCAAAGTTTGCGACGTATTTAATCTCTATTTTAAAACCCCGCTTTTTCTATATATTATAAAGTTATTTTGAGATTTAATTACTTATTAAAGATTAAAAAATTGCAATTAATATAATCACAACTGTTATTTCGCGCGCCGTGGAAAAATATGCGAAGAATTGTACCGCGAGCCGTTAAAGCCCACTTCGGCGTAGAAGGTTGCATAAGAAGGCTTACACGTGCAGGAATAAATGATTCTAATTTTATTTAGTACATTGTCATTACGTCATTCTACGCGGCCGATATTACAACCGGTTTTGACGCGTGGCGCGCGATGGCTCGTCGCTCCGCGTTCGAATTATTTCGAGTTTTATTCCGCTTAATTCAATATAGCGACGACGGGCAAAGAAGACGATTTCGGCGCGAGATAAACGGCGGGGAAATGGCAGCGTGAGCCGAATGACGATGAGCATTAAGGAGAGCACCGATTGATACCGATTGCGATGCCCCGCCGATCGCGAGAATGTTTCTTACGCCGGCGTCTTCTCGCGAACGACCGGGCTCCCGCGCGAATTCTTCATTGAATTGTTAGTCCCTTAATGATTTTGTCGGACCGTCGCGCGAGGGGTGGAAAAAAACCACCCATCCATCGCGGGCATTCCGCGCGCGGCGAGCGGCCCCGCATACGAATCCCGTAATCGTCGCGCGATCGCGCGACCGAACGCCGACCTTCATAAATTATGGCGTGCCGCTTCGACCGGTTTTTTTTTTTTTTTTTTTTTACGGAAATCTGTATGCATAGATTCGTAACCGCGCCTTCCTTAAAAACCGCAGCGTTCGCGACGGATATCTGCAGCCTTCTCGGAACGAATATAAATTAAATGGAAAATAAAGCCGTCCCGCACGCGAACGTCGTGCACTTCCGAGAAATTGTAACTTTTGCCAGGCGGCGGGCGCTTCATTTTCGCACGTGGACGCGTCGTTCGCTCGAGCGACATAGAAATCGGAAGGGGTGGGCGGAGGGGGAGGGGGGGGGAGAGGAACTGAGAGTGAAGACGTTTTTCGTCGCCGGCACGAAATATATGTGTCTGACAATGAGAGCTCGATTACCGAAAGAGGAGTCGCCGTCTCCCATCTCTCCCGAGTCTCACGGATGTGCAGCCGCGCCGGCGACCGCGGGACCGCGGCCGCGAGACCTCACCTCACGCGATTGATCGGAGCGCACACCGCGATCTCCGCGGGACGTGTTTCTTTGCGTCGCGCTGCGCATAAGCGCACCTCGTCGCGGTCGTCTCGTCGTCGCTTTTGGTGGCACGGGGACGTGAAACCCGGCTCGATATACTTATATAGCGTATACCGAACGCCGCCCCTTCCTCTCCATCCACTACGTACAATCCCCGTCCCTGTTATCCTCGAGAGAGAGAGAGAGTGAGTGAGTGAGTGAGTGAGTGAGTGAGTGAGAGTCCCTTTTCCCTGTCACCGCGGTCGACCGTTCGCGGGACGGTTTTTGCCGGACGCGCCTGGACCCTGTTCCCCCCCCCCCCCCGCGCGATACCTATTATACGTGCTCCGATAATTAAGACGTTTCCATTTGGAGTTGACGTCCGGCGGTGACGTGCGCTCGCACGAGTCTCCGGATACGGAGACGCGCGTTTTCGGCGCGACGGGGAACCGAGGGAGGGAAAAAAGCTAATCGTTATGCATCACGTCGGATAATTAATAGCGGTATATGATCGAGGATCGCGTTCCTGGAAGACGGGGGGGGGGAGAGAGGCGGCGAGCGCGGGCAAAAAGTGCGAGTACCACGCACGCGGGGCGAGATTTATCGACATCCGATGAGAATCGGGGAGAATCGTTGACCATTTTTAGACGACCCGAGACGCGTAATTGGACGCGGAGGACGTTAACCGCGCGGGGGCTCCGCGATTAAACGAGGTGTGGTTTGGGACGAACTAAAGATCTTTTAGTTGGCCATCTTCGTAAAAAAAAAGCAATTTGCCAACAGATTCAAATTCATGGAATATTACATCAACTACGTCTGTATTAAACTCGTGTTCTGCCAGCAGAATCTGCCAGTGGAAATCGGAGCAGTATCTGTCATTTTTGTCATACATTGTATTCCATTTAAATATTTGTGAAATGGCAAACTCCTACTTAGTTTTTGCAATAGTTAATCTGTCACCGTATTCCATTAATTTAATTCATATTCTACTGTATTTTTGCTGGCGTTTTATTGACAAAATTTGTAGCAAAACTTTGCAAAATCTGTGTTCAATAGATTTATTTGTCTTTGATATTTTAGAATTTAGAGTTCAGGCGGTTGTTGTATTTACGCGATCGCGTTTGCATTTTTCGCTCACGCGTGACGTTAGAGTAGAGAGATAGAAAGAGAGAAGGGTCAACAACCCTGGCGAAAGAATCGAAGTTATATTGATTTAACTCAAAATTTAAAAAACGAGCGCAGGGTGTGCGCGGATGATAGAGGCGACGACGAGATTCGCGAAAAAAATTCCCCACGAGTCCGTCGAGGATTCCACGAATCGGAACGGTCTGTCGAGAGTCCACCAATCTCAGAAACCCGCTGGCGCCACCTTCGATCTTAAAGCGCTGCTCGAATTCTGTTCTAGAGTCCGCTCTCGGGTCTCGTTGCCGTTAGCAATGACGAAGGACGTGGACGGACGAGCGGCGCTCGACGTTCGGATGAAATTCGGATAGAGACGCGTGGACGAAACCGACGAAATGCCGTGCGGTTACGCGCGATTCGCGGCGCCTGGCATGTAACGCGAGGGCAAGAATGACGATCGCGTCGCGCGTGGTGCTGATACAGATACCGCGGAAATGCACGACTCCGAGGTGCCATCCACGCTGCCATCTTGAATCAGCTGTCAAGCAGACGATACGCAGGTATGGAGCAAAATTTCCGACAGTTTCTGGCATCTGATTATCGTAACTTCTGTCGGCGATTCGGGCGAGAGAACGACATGGTCAGAATTTGCTCTTTTTCCGCAATTTTTTTTCGTCGGAAATAAGTTTTCGATATTCCGTTTTCGTTTCTGACGGATTCGCGAGTGCGAATAATATTTTTATACATTAATTGTAAGAATAATAAATTATGTGCACGAAAATTGCATATAGATTTCGTCGAAGGACAGAGTTCATTAAAAAAAGTGTAATTGAAGTGTAAAGAAACAATCTAATGTATATCGATTACGTAGACCGTCTGCAGGAAATAATTGGCATTGAATTTGAAATTATAATCCGAATTGTGAAACGACTTTTCACGAAGAAAATATTACAAAGAGTGAAATGCGTTATATTGCGAACTTTTAGCGACACGGTTTTAATTTGCCTATCGGATTTAACATTTTGTCGGATGTACGATTTTTTTGAACAAATTACTTACAGCATGTTACCGTAAATATATTTTATGATTTCAGCGTTTAGCGCACTGTTTGATCTCCGGTGGGACATGGAAATATCTGAAGACGATGTACAAGTAGGAAATCAGCCGACAGACCTGATCTCAGCTTACGATAAGCGGAAGAACGATGAGCCCGAGGCGGATCTCAATGAAGTCGAGATAATTACGTCGGCGCAGCATTTTTGTGCGATCGAGATCGGCGAGGAGGCCAAGAACTACGATGGGAAAGCGATCGACAAGGAGGACCAGAGTGAAGCGAACGAATCGAACGCGTCGGAGTCGTCCGCTCTAGGGAACATACAGCACGCCGAGAACGGCGGCATTGCTAACGTGCTGACGGATCCGATTTACCTGGACACCCTGGACTCCGATTCCATAAATATCGAGTTCCAGAAGCAGCCGAGCGCAACGGAGGTGTTCATTCGGGGCGACGAGCAGATACAAACGACCAATTACAATATATCTACGGTGACGATATCGAACGAGCTCTTGGACGGGCTTAATATCAATATAAAGAAGGAGGATGACGACGATCACGGCACGTTGTACACCGCGGAGTGGTTGTGCGACGGCAATAACGACGCCAACATACGACTGAGGATCTTGAAGGACGCCAAGCAGAACATACAGATCCCCGTTGACGTTGACGCGAGCGATGTGATCGCGTTAGCGAAGCGGAAGGCCCAATTGACGGAGGGCAAGGATAGTCTTGAGCAGGAGAGGACTAAGGTATCCAGGAGATCGAAGAAACACGTCAGACTGAAGTCCGCCGCCGTGCATCATCAGGACTACCGGGAAAGATTGAGGAAGAAGGCTGAGTGTATGCGAGAGAAGCGGAAGAAGTTGTACGAGCAGGAGAGCGAGGAGCAACGTTTGCAGAGGCTGGCGAAGGAAGCGGCGAAGAGGCGTGAGATGAGAATGTACTACGAGACGCCGGAGCAACGGAGGAAGCGGCTCGACGCCGAGGCGGCGAGAAAGCGGGAGTACAGGATGTACAACGAGACGCCGGAGGACAGGCGGAAGAGGCTGGATCGCGAGGCCGAGAGACGGCGGATCAAGAGGCTGTCGTTGTACGCGAACGAAACGCCGGAGCAGAGGAGGGATAGATTGAATAAGGAGTCGGCGAAGAGGCGCGAGGCCCGATTGAGTCAGTACGCTAAAGAGACGGAGGACGAGAGGAAGGAGAGATTGCGCAGGGACGCGCTGAGGGCCAGGGAAATGAGATTCACGCGGTCCGCCATCGAGACGGAAGAGGAGCGTAGGCAAAGGTTAGTAAAGGACGCCCTCAGGAAGAGGGAGGTAAGGATGCATGGGGGATGCCATTCGGTGAACAATAATTTTACGGAACTCCGAACCGTTCGCAATTTTCAAGAATTGAACGATGTGCAGATAAGGGACAATCCTGAAAATCAGTTGGATTATCTGAGCAACTGGATGATGTGGTTTCAAAACTCGTTGACACAACCGGTTCACAATGGAGAGCAGGCGGCCGCGGAGCCGCAAGCGCAGCACAATAGATAGAACTTGTGTTTTCCATTATGAGCGTTACTTCGAGGGTGCACTTTCGTACGTGAACGAATACCGGGCAGAGAGACCAATCTGGATATGCTTCCCATGTACACAATTCCTTGGACGCGGAGCGACATAAAATCATAACGGCACAATTACCACCACGCCAATTACTATTAATAACATTGCGAGACTTAAAATATAGCAATAGCAAGAGAATTATAAATTCGTGTGTTAGAAGCACTATTTTATAATATTTATAAACGCCAGAAGCGAACGTAATTACACAAACTATTTCGTCGACGTAAAAGGAAACCATGTAACTTATTCGCATTTTACGTCAAAGTGCTGACGATAAATGAACAATTCGGAGAAAAAAATAACTGATCGTTTTCCAGTGTTTGCGTAATGTTTAATCGTACGACGAGATTATTTAAATATTTAAATGATTTTTCTGCTCGTAAAAGATATTGAGATACATCTTAAAGTAATATACAGTGGATACTCTCTTTGATATTAGATTTAAGTCTGTAAATAAATTTTGCCGATATGTTGATACGACGAGAGAATGAGAGTTGTACATTGAAAACGAACAAGAGAAGCAATTCTTGCCAGTGCCTTTTATTCATTGTTCAACACAAAATAAGCGTTCAGACTAAATTCATTAATTACATACGGCATTTGAACATGAGTGAATGATTCTGGTGAAGGTTCGACTGTCTCTTGTGCTATTTGTACATACAGTTACTATGTACTTCTTTCTACAGTTCCTTTGTAATAAATAAAGTAATAAATTGTGTTAAAATGCGTCATTCTCCACTTCTGTAAAGACACATTTTCTAAAGGGTCCTGATCCAATTCTTTTTTACATAAAACTGTTTGGTGACTGCTGTTTAATGTTTAGTATTTTTTTTATAATTAAAAATATTAATACAAATTGTTATAAACTATTCCAATCATTAGATAGAAAAATGTAATTAATGTGAATTTTATTTGATTCAACATTTAATTGAACAAACGACACGAATTATAATCTGCGCGAATATTCAAGAAAAAAAAACACCGAAGTATTGATGTCGTAATGCGCTTGCGTACAAATTGCTGTAACAAACAGAACAGTCTAGACAACTTTAAAGTTTAAGTAATCCCGAATGAAGGAATAATTTTTATTTGCGAGGTATATTGACATCAGAGAGGAGCCTCTTGCAAAGATTAAATTAATGTCCAAATTCCTTTCTTCGAGTAAAAAAATTACTTACACACAGGCCTTGATTTGATCCATAAAAAAAGAAAAAAGACAATATCTGATGTGTTCTCATTTATATATAAGGATATTCTACGACATGTAATGTATGCTTAAATATTATGCACATCAATCTAATGCTGAAACGCATCAGATACCATTTTTGCACTCAAATCTTGCACTCGTATGCATATAATCGTGTAGGGCATATTTAATTATTCAATGATACAAATTAATCATGGCAAAAACAGATTTATTATAACAATTTATAAAATCCTAGAAGCCCTGAAAAATATGGAGTTTTACGTTCTGTTACGTTGTATATTAATTGTCATATATATATATATAATGTATGCCATACTATGGGATTACATTAAAATAATACATTTTGCTAATTTGTTTCTATAGTTTTCTTAATATACAAACATTTCAGTACGATATACCAAATATGTATATTCAGAATAATGTAATCAATCATACTTTTCTAAGAAGGGATTAATAATCGCTGCCGTATCTTTCGCATGCGTGAGATGAAGATGATGTGATGCTGGTATCGCCTCAAATTGCACTTTATCGTTAGCAGCTTTCAGTACGTTTAACGCACTGTAATAAAGTTCTTTTTCCTCGCCATAAAATTCTTCCTCGTTGTCTCCTCTGATTATTAAATAACGGCATGTTACAAGTTTTGCGTACTCTTCCAGTTGTTCCTGTGAAAACATACTATGGACGGGTATAACCCGCACTCGAGGATCCCTATTGATAACATACGTTCCGTCCTCCTTTCGCGTGGTGCCTCTAGTCATAAGTGTTCTAAATGCCGACTCGTCCAGATACACGAAAGCAGTTGCCCTCTGTATGATCTCGCTTTCGCTGTAGCTAGACTGAACATTATTGTTACTTTCTTCCACTTTGAAAAACGCATCGATCGCATTCGCAAACATAAAGGCATGCCCGCTCGTATTCACAGTCGGGAATTTGAAAAAGTCCAAAGCTATAACGTACTCCATCTCCTTTGGGAACATCGCGGCGTACCAGTACGCCGTCATAGCGCTCAAGGAATGCGCCATTACTTTCAGTCTTTCCCATCCGAAGTACTTTCTAATTCTTTTGACTAGCAAAAGGTATACCAATTCTGAATACATGAATCCTGGTGGTAGCCACGAAGATAGGCCGTGTCCAGGTAAATCGATCGCTAAAACCGGTGTATTTTTTACAATAAGAGGCGCTATGTTGTCAAACGATGCGGCATTGTCCTGCCAGCCGTGCATCGCCAGGATAGGTTGTTTATCTTGCGATCCCCATAACTTGCCTGAAATGAAGCATTTGTTTGTAATGTCATGTAAGTCAGACTTGCTTACAGAAAAATTGCACATACCGGCCACCTTGCCCCAAGGTACTGGGATTTCTATTTCCTTAACTTCATGCTGTATGGATTTACTGTACGCCTTCGCCAACTTTGTACAGGAGCGTATTTTCAAACCATGAGTTACAAATCGTGTGAACATCACGCTGAAATGTACGAAACTTTTGTTAACAATATAAATGTTAATGTTTGTTTTGCTATAAACTGGCAAATGTTCAGATTCTTATGCTAGGACGATGGGGCACAGTTAGGTGTGGAGTTCAAGGTTAATTTTGAAATCACACAAGTTCTTACGGTTAAATATTTGCATACTTGCTGTAACAAAATGTAGATCAAATATCTGTAAGGTTGGAATTGAACTGATAATGAAATCATGTAGCGTGATTGCATTGAGGTGAGATAAGAGATGCATTTTCGTTTTTACTATGTGTACAATAAAGTCTCACAAGCAACTCCTAAATGATATAGATGTAATTAAATGACTTTTGACATAAAAAATTAACTTGCCAGCATACATACACGTGTAATGAGAGATCCGTCACACAGGTCTTTATACAAATATGTATAAAAATTATTCAAAAGATAAGCACCTTTGATTGTACTGCAGTCAAAGATGAGCACTCTGTTTTACATACAGAAAAACATATGTACATACATTATATGCATATGAATGATGCATGAACTGCGAATGATATGCGTATCAGCATATGAAGAAAGTATATTTATATATATATATATATATATATATATATATATATATGTCGTGTTCGGGCAAAGAAGCACTTTAGAAAAAACACTGTGCGTTGATTGGATTATACTTTCAGGTCTGAATTGAGTGTCACGATTATTCCTTTAGATCCAAAAATATAAACGCAGACTAACTACGAAAATCATATTTTACTGTTATTTATTTATAATAATAACACTATTTATGCATGTGGACCATTGAATTAAATTCATTTTTGTATTAATAATTCGCATAAATATAACTAAACTGATTTGAACGTTTTTGAAAAACGTTTTTGAAAAACGCATCACCAATCTGTCAGCTTGAAGCACTGCTGAATTCTGTATTGTTATGAGTTCAGTGACATGATTATGCGTGCGATGGCGCGCACGCACAATCCTCCAGCACCTATCAGAGGCTCTGATTCAGAGCCATTGAGGTGCCACTCTACACTCCACAGCTGGTGGCAGGCCGCACGTACGAACACGTGCGTCTATAACCTCAAATTCGTTCGATGTGTGTGTTTTTTTTTCATCATCACACAAAATAGACAGAAATATTAGCTTGAGCTATATATTCTTGCTGATATACAGTGGATTTTACGATATTCTTACGCGACATAGATTTTACTCTTACAGGTTTTTTTATTGTTACGCGTTAAAGTAAACCGTTTCACTTCAGCTATTCTCCCCGGATTGCAGACCAGCTGAGAGATGGGCTTGACCAAGCAGTATCTGAAATACGTGCCGGCAGGTAACGCGAATATAATCGCGAGTCCCCGGTGCAACGTTGTCTTCGTGAGATTGGACGGTCAAGAAGGTAGATTCGTAGCTGCCGCCGCGTGCGAACACGTATACATTTGGGATCTGCGACTCGGTGAGAAGGTAAGTCGAAAGGGGAGGGAAAAGTGAAGGAAAACTCGATGTAGAAATGATCGATGTTGCATTTTTTTTTTTTTTGCAATAATTTCAGGCGCAGGTATTGTCCGGGGAAAAGGTGTGCGTGACACGTCTGGCTGCGTCACCCGATAGGAGACACATTGCAGTCGGTTACGCAGACGGCACGGTGAAAACCTTCGATCTGACCAGCGGCGAGAACGTCAGTGTATTCGTGGGACATAAATCCGAGATAACAGCCTTGGCGTACGATGCGTTGGGACATAGATTAGCCACTGGTTCCAAGGTGATCTCTTACAAACCACAAATTACAAGTACAAATTTGTTGTGCAATTAGAAAATTATAAGTACTTATATTCTTCTTTATATAACAGGACACAGATATTATCGTCTGGGACGTTGTGGCAGAGATTGGAATATGTCGGTTAAGCGGACACAAAGGCGTTGTGACCAAGTTGGTGTTCATGAGAGAGCATAATATTATCATCAGCGCTAGCAAAGATACGTTTGTGAAGTTTTGGGATCTGGACACGGAGCATAACTTCAAAACCCTCGTTGGACATAAGTCAGAAGTAAGTACTATAATCGTGTTCCTGTACGTTATTTGCATTCCAGATGATTGCATGGTATTGATTTAACATCGATGCAGGTTTGGAGTCTCGTCCTAATGAACGACGATCGTTATTTAATAACGGGATGCAATGACGTGGAATTACGTGTTTGGAAAATAACGTTCCTCGATAATAAGAATATTGAATTGGATGCTGCTATTGGTACGTTAGAGATCAATGAAGAAAATGAGGAAAGTGTGGATACAGATATGGTATGCATTTGTACACGCGAATATTATACTGAGTTTATTATGCGATTTGTCTTTAATGTAATTATTTTTAAAATATGTAAAATTATAAGCACGCATTTTTTGCAGAAATACCCAATAAAATGTGAAAAAGTTGGAAGTATATTAAGAACTGCCAGCGGCCGAGTTGTTTCGTTAGAAGTTGACCCCACATGCAAAGTTCTTGGATGCCATGGATTGGGAAATTCCATAGAATTGTTTTATCTCCTATCTGACGACACAATAAAAGATAAATTTGCGAAAAGACTGAAGAAACAAAGACGGAAGGCTCAAAAGTGAGTTTTAGCAAAAAAAAAAGTTTTTAATTTACTCTCAAAAAATTTAAAATTTTTAAATTTCTATTAATAAATATATTAAATATATTTAAAAAATAAAATTTAAATACATATATTCTTTATGACGTAAATAGGGAGGGGAATGATGCAGAGAAGGAGCTACCTAATGCACCATCCCTAAAAGACGAGATAAAACGTTTGCCTGTTGTTCGAGTATCCGGCAAAGCAAAAGGACTAGATTTAGTGATTGGCAAAGGAAACGAACTCAGAGTTAGTAATAGCATAAGACAGAAATCAATTTTAAATCACCTAGCATTTACGTTATGTTATATTTTTACTATTTTGCGCAGTTATGCGTTGGAGTCAATAACAATTCGATTGAATTGCATTCTTTGTACATGGAAGAGAAGAATCCGGAAGTAAAGCGTTTGCGCGCAATAACGGCACACGGACATCGCACGGATGTACGTGCTGTCTGTTTTAGCTCCGACAATTTGGCGTTTGCCACCGTTAGCGGAGATTCTGTCAAATTATGGAACAGGTAGGGCACCTTGTGCACAAATATGCAATTTAATAAATGGATATGTGCATTAGAGATTTGTTAACGAACGCCAATTTTTAGACCAACGTTAGCGTGTTTACGCACAGTGCTGTGCGGCTACGCCTTGACGGTAACGTTCGTGCCGGGTGACAGACATCTGATTGTCGGTCTGAAGGACGGGAAAATGCTTATTATCGACATCGCATCCGGCGATATCTTGGAAGAAGTGTCGGCACATTCCAAGGAGCTTTGGAGCGTGACGTTATTCCCCGACTTGGTAGTGTATCCTCTAAGAGAAAAATAAGAAAAAATTTATAAATTAAAAAATTAAAAATTGCAACAACCGTCATTACTTCAAAACTCATTAATATGTTTGTGCAAAATAGAAAGGAGTTGCCAGCGGCGGTGGTGATCAGACGGTGAAGTTTTGGAACTTCGAACTTATTCAGGATTCCGACAGTCAGATAAAGGCGAAAGTCCTCTCTGTCTTGCACACGAGGACGCTCAAGCTCGAGGAGACCGTGCTGTGCGTAAGAATGAGTCCGAATAATAGATTTGTGGCTGTTTCTCTATTGGACTCTACCATTAAAATCTTCTTCTTGGACACATTTAAGGTACCGTAGTTACTTCGAGTTACTTTGAACTACGTAAGTTTATATCTTAAGTGTCATCTTTAATTGTTTTGTATTTTTATTCTAGTTCTTCGTGTCGCTCTACGGACACAAGCTACCGGCACTGAGCATGGATATATCCAGCGACTCCACGCTCATAGCGACCGGTTCTGCCGACCGCAACGTCAAGATCTGGGGTTTGGATTTCGGCGATTGTCACAAGTCTATATTCGCGCACGACGACTCTGTCACGGGTCTCTCGTTCGTCCCTGGAACTCACTATTTCTTTACCTCCGGTAAAGACGGCAAAATTAAGCAGTGGGATGCCGACATATTTCAAAAAATCACCACGTTACAGGTAGCGTATTTCATTGAGTACCTCACCTATCGACAGCAGTACAGCGATTACAACACTTTTTATGATCTTTGTAGGGTCACGCTGGAGAGAGTTGGAATTGTTGCGTTTCGCCAAACGGGGTTTACGCCGCATCGTGCGGTTCCGATCGGGTAGTTAGGTTGTACGAGAAAACTGGCGAACCTTTGGTATTGCAAGACCAAGCGGAAGAGGAGAGGGAACAACAGGAAAGCGAATTAGTTACCGGGGAAAGTACTGCGGTATTAGGACAGAAACAACAGGCGTTGCCTTCCAGAAAGACGGTTAACAGCGAGAAGGCTGTAAGTTGAACTACTAAAATGTATATAAAACTTGCAACATGGAAAGTATTAAAATGTCTCTTTATGTTACACCTTTCTCATCTCAGGCTGAACTGATACTGGAATGCTTGGAGATATCCAGTCAATATGAGACAGAATTGAGTAAAGCTGGCTCTACCGACAAAGCACCACCCCTTCCACTGCTGATGCAGGCTTACGATTGCACGAGCACAGAAGACTTCTTATTGGAAACTTTTAAACGAGTTAGAGCGAGGTAAGATACTATAAATGGAATATGGCAATGTTTTTTTTTTTTTTTTTTACATAAAAGTGAAAATATAACTGGGATCTTGTTTCAGTGAATTGGAGGAGACGTTACTGTTATTGCCATACTCGGCCGCCTGTGATATTCTTCAGAGACTCCCCAACTTGTTAAAAAACGACTATCACGCTGAGCTACTAGCCAGATTAGCTCTGTGCTTAGTACAAGCGCATCATGGTCCGATAGTGGCCAATCAAAATCTTTTGCCCACATTGGAGATCGTCAAGAAACTCGCTGTTGAAAGGATCTCTTCTTTAAGGGTAAATGAAAATTGATTTATACTGACTGCATGCATTATTCACGAGAATATTATTTATCTGATGAATCAATGAATGGATACCTTCCCCAGGATACTGTCGGCCTTAATTTACACGGTATGATGTATGTGCAACGCGTTCTTGAGGAACGCGAAGGAATCAAATTCTTCAGGGATGCCAGTAAGAATGTCCAACACAAGAGGAAAATCAAGAGAAATAAGGAGAAGGCTATAAAGAGAGCAATCATGAATTTGTAGATCTTAACAACATGAAGAACTTTGTACATATATGTAGCACAAATGTTTTTTACACAACTTCTGTACATATATCAAAGTAATAAATAATAATAATGCTTTTTAATTATAAATTTTTTTAAAAATTAATAATTTATTTACTACATAATTGAAAAATTAAAAATTCATATCCTTGTGCATGCAGTATCAAATTATCATAACCCTTTGCCAATAAATCCATCAAGCTTCGATCGATCAATTAATCATAACTGATAAAAATATCGCGGATTAGCTCACATAAAGTCAAATCGACCCTATTCCTAGCAGACGCGAATAGACCCATCTACATGACGCATACACACTGTCACAACATAACCTCGTTACTCTCGTTAGTATGACAGCCGCATGGTCCGTTGTTTATCCGCGCCTGCTGCAAGGAAAAGTAGAGGATGGATCACGAGGACGAGTTTCTTAACGTCTTCTTCACGCAGGTCGCCCAATTGTGCTCCGACAAGGCCAAGGAGACAGTTGTGAGTGAAAACGAAATGTCGCTATCGCGTATCGATACAAGAGTGCACGTAAAATGCGTGTTTTCTGTCTGAGAGAAAATGTAAATTTATAATCCAGGAGAGAGAAAGGGAATCGTGTAAGCAGATGCAAATGGGCCCGTGGGGAATGCTGCTGCTGCATTTGCCCCAGATAGCCGTGGCGGAGCGCTCGTACGCGGATTTGGGTTTCCTCAACGCTAAAAACAAAGGCTTCCTCAGGAAGGACGTAAGTACGTGATAGAGAAGTCGTCTCTGTCGTCCCGAGCCTCTTTTGCTCACGATCGATATTATTTACAGAATTCTCTGAAGACTGTCTACGAGTCGTTGAAGTCAGATTTGAAGAGATTAGAGGAAATGACCAAGGGAACGAATTCCATCGGCGCGACGGTCGAAAATGTTTCCAACCAGCTCTGCCAGTTCATCACGACGAGGATCCAGCTGATAGACTTGTCAGTATATATATTAGCGCTTCAGCCGTGTCTGTTTCCAATATCATATTTGTGATTGTTGCGTTACAGCTACGAAAAAATGTACAACATGAGTGTAAACAACAAAGTGATGAAGCATCAAGAGTTGCTGCAGTGCATAGAGGGAATAATAACGAGCTACTTGTTATCCTGTTCTCATTTGGCGTTAACTGCTATTAAGACAAGTTTAACGTATGTGTTCTTTTGTAATTGTTTTTTTAGTAATATGAATTATAGTGTGTATGTGTGTGTGAGAGAGTAATAATTCTCATTGTTCAGATTAGAATGCGAAACGCTAGTACAATTGATGAAAGCACAAGTGGAGGTTCAAAACTGGAGATTTCTACCGACCCTGATGGCGCTGTACGGCGCGCAAACGCGAATGTCAGCCTGGGAAAGAATTCTGCAGAGCAAGGAGGTTAGCAATATATATATATATAAATAAGGACATGGAAGCAGCTTGTCGAAAGAGAGATTATTCCAATTTGAGATTTCTTTTAGTCCTGGAAATTAGGCTTCGGCGCGACGTTTCTCAAGGCGAATCAACAGCCAGCGTTGTATCAGTGGCTGGTGAAGCTTCGCAGTGCCATATTAGCCAAGTGCTCTCTGTATTTCCATACTACTTTAAGCCAACAAGCTAGTCCAGGGGAAATGAGGAGTGTCATGAGCAAGCAGAGTACAGATTACTATCACAAGTAAGATACAGATATTGCTTTGCTGCTCACACAGAGTACATGAGCTAATAGAAACTTTTTCATAGGATACAGAGTTTTCGGCGAAAGTACGATATACTAGCGGTACTGATAATCTTCGACTCCAGAGAAACTGGAAATTCAGGTTCGGGATACAGGCATCCTGGAAGGGGAGCAAACTCGTCCGAGATTTTTCCCGTTGTTGTTTATTGTCCCGGTGTAAGTATAAATTTGTTTTTTTAATAGTTTTTAATATAAGTATATATTTATTATCTACGAATATATGAGTAATATAAAATATAATATCCTATGCTTTTTTATGTAATTATAATATTATTATGATTAATATGATTAATATGATATTAATGTGATTTTTTTAGACATTCACGCAGAAATCATCGGTGCATTTAGACAATATCCAGACCAAGATAAAGGAACGGCATGCTGAACTTCTCACTATGGAGAAAGTGATTTATTATAAAAGCACGAAGGTATGTGAAAATAATCGTAGAAATTAGAAATAGAAATTAAAAATTAGAATTAATCTCTGAATAAATTGCAAATTAATGATGTTCTTACAGGACTCGTGTACGTATTTTTTCCACAACATTGACCCCACAATGACTCTCGTAATTGTTTTCGAAAACGGGAAACAGAAGGATAAAGAAACCCACATCACGTCGTTTATGATGGATCTCTCTATGCAAATTAGATGCAATAAGGTTTATGAATATCTCAAATTATCAAAATGAGTATCTGTGCGAAAACGAATGTATGATAATGTCGAATTATGCCAAAGACCTAACTATATTATAGTAAAAAATTTGTTAATATAAATTTATCGATGCACAATTATATAAAATAATAAAGATAAAGTTTATTATTTGTATGTATACAACTTAGCCTTATATGTATCCCCAAATAATGAGAAAATCTTATTTCAATTATTGAACCTCTTAGTTATAATAATATCGACAATCTGACATATGTGTTCAACTTTGTTATACATTTTTGTAATATTAAAATATGCGTTATAATTTTTGTTCTGATACTAAAATTTTGCGTATTTTTATTTTTATAGTATCTAAATTTATAAGCTCGCACGTTTATGCGTTTGTTGTTTATTATATTTGGGGAGATTTTGAATTTGAATTTAATTTTTATATGTTCGGTTTTATTAAAATTGAGAAATATATAAAAGGAAGAGGAGGAAAAAAGAAAAACAACTGTGATTTTTTTAGTAGATTAGAATTTAGTTTGAGAATTGTTTATAATATAGACGAACTGACTGCAATTACCGACTGTTGTACTTCAAGCACTTTCTGTTAAATCACGAATGTGGCACAGATGGGGCCGCGCGACAGTTCAGTCAAGTGAGCTCCGCGTGATCGTAGTGCCGCTTGGGTTTCTCACAGATTAATCTCCGCGTTCGAGAGTTAAGTATTTCATTTGTCGAATGTGACAAATACAATGTATGTAGTAAGTCTTAATTGAGATACGTAATGAAATATGTAATACTAATTGCTGCTTCTAATTGGATTATAGCTTACTCTAATTGTTATCAAAAGACCATTGTCGTTTACGCTGCGCAATCGCTGCAATTGTAAAAAAATAATTCGTAATGTCGTTCGAGCGTCTTTTATTTCTGTGAATAAATATCTTTCTGTAAATAAATATTGGACAAAGTATTGCGATAGTTTTCTCTGCGAAATTCTTCGAGAAGAATAGCCGCATTTAGTATTCGCATTTTCAATTAGTGACGGGCGCCTTTCGGTAGATGGCGTCATCATGCCGAACGAATGTTCGATCAGCTGATATCGCGCGCATCGTGTTGAGAGTCCGTACGCGAGTTGTGCGTAATTTTGTTAAACGTAATTTTGTTATTTCGTTGTTGCGTCCATCGATCGATCCGCGATCGGTTGGACGCGTAAAAGTCGTGCGCGTAGCCGCGTCCTTTAACTCTTGAACGCGAGTGCAGCGATAAGACAACACGGGACGAGGCGCGACAGGCCTGCGGATTTGCGGCGCTGCGAGGTTATGTGCGACAAGTGATCGCGAGCGTTTCCCTCGTCTACAGGAACGCGACGAAGATCAACGGACTACTGAATCGACCCTCCAACGTCTGTGAGGTGTCTGTGAGATATCGTCGTCGAGGATACAAATATGTGAGTAACGTTATCTCTTATCTGGTCCTCGCGGCTGCATCGACAGTATCGACGCTGTTTTTTCACTTATCAGCCTCCAGAATTAATCAAACATCATCGAAGACATGAACACAGACATTTCGTTTTGTTATAAGGATTTGACGTGACATGAAAGAGTTTCTTGCAAATTTCGCAGCGAAATCTTCCTCGTTTTTAATGGAGTAACATTGAAATAACATTCAAGTTGTCTCTTTATCGGCTGGTTAATAGTCAATATCGAGTGGAAATTAGTATTGACGCGCTAGAAAATGAGTCTTTTTATATTCTTTCTTAAATTTTTTACTAAAGAACTGGAATGAGATCCATATATATTATTGATAGATGGAGTAGAATAGTGAAAACTGTAGCTCTTTAGCTTATTAACTTTAAAGCTAAACAAATTAAATTTTTTATTTACATACCTTAAAAAAATCTTTATAAAGAGTTATTCAGTCTTATAATAGCGAAATGTCTGTGTTTGCAAACGAATGCTATAGCTCTATAAATTTTGAGAAAAATATCAAATGTGAACAATTTCTTAAGCATTGAAATGTATGTTTATTCCGAGAAAGTATTTCCTAGTAACGCTCTACTTGCCGCGCTGTACCGATACCGGCAAAACGTTTGCCTTTATAGCATCGCTGCATTACGCATAAAAGTGCATACAATCGATTCCGCGAATCAAGTAACGACGATATCACATTCTGAGATGTCTTGTCCTTTCTATGCAACATCCTGTCATAATAAATATTACGAGAAAAACAACGATGTCTCTTTCCCTTAACATTTCCATTATTCGAAACGATTTCAGCGGAAAGAAAAATACGAGACTCTTGCTTTTTCCTATCAGTTATTTCTGATAGAAATAAAGAATAACTGAAATATTATAAGTACTTTAAGTAAGATTTTTAAAATAATCTTTTACTGTAATTTTGAGCCAATTTACACACACACACACAAATCGTATTTGGCAATAATTAATAATTTATAATAATTTATAATAAGACATAATTAATTTTGACCAACAAAAATTACGTATGTAATAATTGGCAGAAAAGATATGTGACTGTATTCTCTCACCTTTAGAGGGAACTTTGGTTACTTGCTGTCAGCAGCCCGAAATTATATTAAATTCTAAAATAAAAATATCTGTGTGGATAGTTACAAAAAATATTAGAATGTTGAAGGATTACCTTGCTTATTTTTAGGGAATTACGTTGGGAAACGCGAGCATGTCCCACCTGCTTCCGTCGACGTCTCAACTTGCACTCTTAGGCAAAATTTACTTTTCGTATCATTTAACAAGCTCGTGGTCAGTTAACGTGACACGAAGATCACGTAACGAGGCGTTACGTTAACAAAGCTCGCGTCCTTGTAGCAGCTTTATTGCTTATCTCTTCTGCTTGTACATATTTGCGGAAATATTCTTTTATTACCTGGAAAAATGACGATCATTCGTCCATTTTTTTTTTTTATGTTTGTCACCGCAGAGCACTTTGCCGCAACGTTTGACCAACCAGCGCAATGCAGCACATCTATATATCTGGGCCTAGCCGATAACGCTCGACAATATAATCCACGCTGTATACTCTTCGTATAAAGCGAAACGCTGCTCCCCTACGCCCATATGCGCGCGGATTCGTGACCGGCAAAAGTTTGCGGAAGCCGCCGCCGGCGCGGCGCGTGTACACATGGCTTAGGCGTATTTTGCATAATGCGATTTTCATGCCCCCGATCCCGCTTTCGGAATTTGTATATCTATCCGCGGCGTATACCTCTATTATAAAGCATGTATAGTAATCACGTGCCGAGGTGGATTTAACACGTACTGATCAATTCAATATTCAGTCTCGTCTGATAATTTCCTACCTCGTTTCTCCGCATATTATCCGCTTTTGCTTTACATTATTTCTTCCCATTACCGATTTTTTATTTTTTATATTTTTTCTTTCTAATTTTGAGAAATATATTTCAGTTAAATCTGTCTCACACACACAATATAGTTTCTTTTAATTCTCTTTCTTTTTATCGATTACTCTTTTTCTCCGTTTACTGAAATATTTTTATTAATCCGGCTCACCTCTAAATTTCTAATCGTACATTAATAGAATCGATTTCGCTCTTCCGCTTTCTTGAAAACGTTTTGTTTATAGAGTTCGCTTAGAGTAGAATTAACTATAACACAGAAGAAAGGAAACAGCTTCTTTCCCGATTGTTATACGTCCCATCGGCATTTTCACATCAATTTACCTTCCCCAATCCTGTTCGTTATATCTCCATTTTACCGGGCGTATAACTTACGACCGCGGTCGCCGCGCGCCGTATCTGCTAAAAATACAACTTCCTTGACACGGGCACGGGTGCGGCGTTATCTCCCCGATTCTCACGTGCGTAAACCGGGCGCTCCGCTGTAATAAAGCCACGTGCTAGCCGCGCACCGAAATTAGAATCGTTTGACCATCTAAAGCGGAGCTTTCCCCGTTATAAACGTTAGATGGACGCGATGTGTCTTGAAAAATGTGCGAACTGTATTCTTACATGCGCTCTTCGATAGGAATTTAAAATCGCTTTTTTTCAGCTAACAAAGAACATGAATTAATTATAGAAAATTCCTGTCGAATAATCTGTAGCAGAGTTTAGACTTCAAGTGAAAATTAATCTACATCGTGAAATTCTTTTAAATACAAGAGGAAAACAATTGAAAATGAAATTCAATCTAAAGCATATCTTTATTCTTCAGAAATTTAATTTATTAGGATTTATATTTTCACGGTTCGTGAATATAATATGTAATATATCGCGATGTTGCCGCACGAAAAATCGGATAGAATCGATCAAATTCCGACCTGTTAAAGTCCCGATATCTATACGCGCACACTTGCCTGCCGTCGACTACCGTCTACATCAACTGTGTCGCGTTGCATATAGAGAGCGACTTGCAATAACGCCATTGTACGCCTCTCCCGTATCTGTGCGTACTTAATAAGCGAATGTGGGACATTTGGCGCTTGTTATTGGCCAACATACGCGCCCGGCGTGTGCCCACGTATACGCGATTGTCAGGGGAAACCCGTCGAAAGGAAAAACGGCATCTCTCCCGCGTCGGTGGGACGTCCCCTCCCCGCGCCTCCGTCGGACCGTACGCCGACGTCTTTCACGTCGTCACGTACCTATAGCTTTCCTGACCCGAGACGCCTAGACGCATTGCGTCGGTGCCCTTGCCAGAGAAACGCCGCAATACCGTCCTATCCGGCGTCCACGTTGCACGACAGGCTCTTTATCTTGTTCTGCCTTCCCCACGGCAACTATTCTTTTTAATGACCTCGTGCAATCTGTCGAGTACACTTTCGCTGGATATTCTTAACAACGTCTCTATCTCTGCTTAGACGAAAGATTTATTAATCAATTATTTATGCAGGCAAGACCGCCACGCACAGATGCCCTTTTTGTTACTTCGATTCTCAGAACGATTGCAAATTAAGTTTTTTGAACGGGATTTTGCCTGCATAAATCACCATTAATTTATATTAATGAACTGTATATTTAATATAAAATACAATTTTTTTGCATTTCTTATCTTATGACATTTGTATCGATATCCTTATCGTGATATTCCTTTTTTTCTTTAATTTCGCTAGATTTACGCATACAAATCAAATCACCTGCAGAATAAATCTGATTCCGTACGACGTAAACCGTCGATACTTGACGCGTATATAGCGCTTTCTGGTGCTCACGCCTCGATTGTTAAATTAAAGACTCCGTTAAATCGAATAGGCGTCTTTATGCGCCTGTCTGCGCTCTCGCGTCTTCTCGCGGGCACATTTGCGTAGGTACAAATAATAGTATCGCCGCGGCGCATCTTACGTCAGCCGCACATGGCGCGAGATGCACGCTCTAGAAGATGAGATATTTCGAGTAATCGGAACGCGGCACGGGAGCGGAGATTTAATCGCGCGCCAACATACACACGCAGGTTTGTCCCGGGCGGAGTTTTAAAGTTAATTAATAACGAGGAAATCCGTTTTCAACTCGAGATTCCGTTTCGCTTTTTGAAACGGATAAGCTATACGTGCGCTGCTCCCTCAGTTTGTCGATTGCACGTGTTTTAAATAATTATAAGAATAAATCTTTATTAATGTGCGATTTAACGAAGACTTATATTGTCGTGAGAATATTCGAAATGGCGGAAATCGAGCCGTTTTTCTGCAGAGATGCATTATCGTGCCAGGGAAAGTCTATGCTTGTCGTGTAGCCCCTAGAGGCCATCGGCTTCACACGCGAAGTAAAACCGCGAGTGCCACTGCCACCGTGGATTCTATTTGTGTCAAACAATATAAAGTAGAGACGTATGTGCCCGCAGCCTCACTGCGGTTACATAAGCGCCGACGAAGGGGGAACGTGCGGCATCGCGGGCGCATCGCCGCGTCGCTCTGCCTGCGATAGGGAGAGCCGCATCCACCTTGCGCTTTAACGAAATTGAATTTGCACCCGGGAATGTATCAGATTATACGTTTCGAATTCAATACCGGGTCTCTCGAAAACCGCACGTCTTTCAATCTTTAACGCGAGAAATCCGTGATTTAATTATTAGCCGATCTTGGAAATGTGACACTATAGTTAATAGAATTATAAACTCAATTTATTATTAAAATAGTTATGGAGTAACTATATTAATTAGTTTACTGTAATGCTTATAGAATGGGTCCAGTTTTATTTTTTGTGCATATAATTCTATTCTTCGATTTTAATGCATTAGTTTTTAATAAATAAATAAATTGTGCAATGCTACATCGACCCTTTTCCTCCGAGTCTGCTCGAAACGGTGTCATTGACCGTTGAAAATTCGATTTCGCTATAATTACGACGGGACGGATTCGACGCGACGCGACAGGAAACGTCGGAGCGATATCTCTCCGCGCAACGTATAAATATCTTTCCGAATCCCAAAAAATCTCGTAAATAATTAAAAAGCTGACTCTCCCGAGAGAGAGAGAAAGAGAAAGCGGGGATGAAGGCTTAATGGATCAACTAGACGAGTAGTGACATTTTGACACGTGTGCCTCGACAGGATAAATCGCTAATGGAGCCAGAAACCCGAGACATCTTCGATAATATAGCGAAGATGTGAAGGATCCCTCTTCCGTAAACATAGAAATATACTTAGGACTTCCTTCGGTATTGTCTTTCCCCGACAAATAATTCCATTCCGTGTTTACCCTCCCGACGGAAGTGGCGATCATTATCATCGATTATTTTGCAGCATTTATAAACCAGTTTGCCGTACAATCGCCGCGGGAAGGAAGGAGAATAAGCGTCTAAACGAGCGCGCAAGTAACTTAGCCTCGACGGTAAAACCGATTTTCGAGGCTTATCCCGGCCTCGGCGATATACTCCCGGGGAAATTGAATTCCGCCCCGTATTAGCGGGGTCCATGTAAGTCGGAAATGGTAACTGCTGATTGCGCGTAACTTATTCCGAAGGTGCGCTTTTTTTTCCCCTCCTTCGCTTCCCCACCACGACGCGCATCTCCATTTTTATATAGGAATAATTGAAATTTACAGTGACTGTGCGTGTGACTTTCATATCCTATTATTACCTTTAAATTATACCGCCCGTCTCTTGCTTAAATTTAACATAATACGTACTGCGAAGAAAACGTAGCTTTTTTACGCGCACATGTTCGTAGCTATATTCATTTGTTCCGGCTGTCATAATTTTGGCTCTCTTCCAAATTCTTGTCACTGAGCGATGAATTATTGGATTCTCCCTGTAAGCTTTCTTCTCAGTTTTCATCCGTCGAAACGTTGATCCGGGGAAAATCTAAAATTCTTACGATCATAAAAATATACAGGTGACGAATTGATTAATTCAATTATTTAAACTTATGCTGTTTTCTGCATGAAGAGAAATTTTTTAAAATTTTTAAAATTTTTTTACTTTCTAATTGAATCAAGATTATGGTGATCAAAATGCCTAGTTCTTTATTATTCAAATTTCCATTCGTACACATTTCTACAAAGTGAAATGCTCGCGTTAAATTCCCAAGATACTGAATCGCTGTCGAAAATATTAATACACAATATGTTTTCATTGTTTGCTTTTAACTGAATGACAGGGGAATTGTTTAAATTAGAAATTCCAGGTAGCACACGCGCGTTGCGTTTATTTATTAAATCTCTTTATACATCACTATTATATCGTCGCTAGAGATTGATAGCCAAACGAAATGATGTACGACAGGAAACGAATTGCGTATACATGATGTTAAACACGACTGATCAAATTAATGATCACTTTGTTCCTCCGTGAGCCTGAAGATGAATAAAAATTCCATTACACTATTTTTTATACTTATTATTTGAGCGATAACGAGATATTGTGGACGATGAAAATAAACGCGCGATCGTGCCGAGGATCCCAGAATGCCATTTCACCGCCGATCAAGACCGCGATCGCGATTAACGCGAGGCGCGGAGTCGCGTAAACATCAGACGAGGAGCGATCAACGGATGCGCTTTTCGTCGCTCATCCGGAAACTTAGGCCAAGATTTAAACATTAGTTTCGTGACAGTTTAATATCTGCGCCTTGGCACGACGCGCGAAGCGCGCTATACTGGCTACTAGATCTACAGCGATGTTGTAACTGGGTGGCTTATGACACGCTCGGATAAGCCGGCCGTATATTATAACAGCATTTAATGCCCGCCCGTGTTGTCCTTTTACCTCCCTGTCTTTATTATAATAATAAATCCGACGTATCGCCCCCCTCCCCGAAGGGAGCGACGGCGCGCTTTTCAGCCACCGTCGTTTCTTAATCGTGGCAGGATCAGCGGGACGAATGCAAATTAAGGATGACACAAATGATCCCACGTGGAAGCTCAAGACAGCTGTGGGATCGAATTACATAAGATGTTTAAAAAAATTTTAACGCGAAAGAATTACAACTCATCGTCGTGTGCACGTTTGTTATCAATAAACAGCAACCCCGTATCATTAAAACTTCGTAACTGGAACACCTGTCGAACATTCGCGCTCTTGGCGTTCCGTCATCGGCGGATTATGGCACTCTGTAGCTTTATGGTAGATTGACGGGACGAGGAGCGCCGTAAAAATAGGAAATAAAACTTACGACACGATCGCAGGCGGCTGGAAATAATTATAACATCGCGCACGTGCCAGCCGGTGCTGTGAATGTCATTGATACTTTAATGTTGGATATTAAATATACGCACGTAATTAGTTCAACATGCGAGATGTTCGCAAATGTTGTCCTACAGTGAAACTAGAACGATAATTTTCTACGTATAATTGCGAACAAAGCGCGAGCGATAATGTTCCACATTACTTTCGCGATAGCCCGTTCGCTCGAATGACAAATCTTCGAGAGAGTATACGCCAACGTAATTCATCATATTCATCTTCCTTCAAGAAGTCTCGACGGGAATTTCGACGCACGCAATGTTCAATAGCGGAGCGATCCAACAATTCTGCGAATTGCTGCAGACTCGCTATTGAGCTCGATTCGCTGATTGAGCTTCGAATCTCGGGAAAGCTCAGGCTAATTCAGGAGCAGCAATAACGCGCGTATAGCTTCGTATACGAGAGACGCCGAGTGACGAGCGCGCCAGAACATCTTTTACGAAAGCGCGACAGACACACGCGCGACGGGAGCACGACGTCTTGGGGAACACCCGCGGAGACGGTGCGGAAGGTGGATGGACGGAGGAGGACCACGCACGCGAGAGGAAGAGAGAACGAAGAGAGGAGAGTCGGCGCAGGCGCCGAGCCAACGCGTGGAGAACGCTCGTCGTCCGCGTGGCGCGAGTTAGAACTTGACTTGGTGCTTTTAGTCTTGTCCCATCCCTTCGTCCATCCTCGTCCTTGCCGGGCGAGAAGCAGCAGCCCCCGGCGGCGGCGGCGGCGGCGGCGGATAGGAAATCGTCAGGGAGGAAGTATGCGTCCGGTGCCTGGGGACCGGTTACGGCAAGAAGGACGCGGAGCCGACGAGGATTCCGCCCGACCCGCCGACTGAGCCGGCGAGCCAGCGATGAAGAGACACGCGTCGCCCCCACGTGCCTTCCACGGGTTCGCAGCAGCGCGACGAAGTGAAAGTAGGTAATTCATTGACGGAGCCTTCAACGAAATTCTCCGACTATAGAAGATCGTCTTTCCGGTGAACATATATCACGCGTGACCGCAAGTCGAAAATTGACGCTTAAATCAGAAGGAGGAATAATAAGGAACAAATTTTCCCTGGAATATAAGATTTTGTAATCCGAGAAGAAAATCTGGAAACTGTATATGTTACCGAGTCGATGTACGATCGATGTGCCTGATTGCGACATGTCGCAGGAGATTTTGTCCCGTAGGGAGACCTTCTCAGCCGAAACGAATGGCTCTCGTAATTCGAAGAGGAGCACCCGCGCTCAGCGCCGATGGCGCATCCTGGCCAGGGCGCTGACAGGCTCGCCCGAGCCGTTCGGCAGTGAATCCGACGAGGAGGTGTCGGTGAGGCGATTCACCAGCTTCGGCCTGCTCAAGTGCGCCCGGCTGGAGAACATGCTGGCGGACGGTGAGTTCAGCTGGTGCGAGTACTCGACTCAGCTGGACGGCCGGCCGTACAACGTGCAGATACGCCGGATAAGCAAGTGCTTCACGGCGAGCGAGTTGATCGGCTTCAACAACACCGGCAACGTGTGCGTGTGGCCGTCCGAGGAGTGCCTGGCCTACTATCTGCTGAGGAATCGCGGCCTCTGCCGGAATCGGAACGTCCTTGAACTCGGCGGCGGTATGAGCTGCCTTGCCGGTGTGCTCGCCGCCAAGTACTGCAATCCCAGGACCGTCACCCTCACGGACGGTAACGTGACCAGCGTCGACAACGTGCGCTGCATCGTCGCCCGGAACGACATGGCGCGTCTGGTGGAGTGCGGGGTCGTGCAGTGGGCCCAGGCCGCCAGGGCCCTTCGGCAGACGGCGATCAACGGTAACCGCGTTAAGGTGAATGCCCAAATTCGATCTTGAACGAAGCGGTCGATAGTCCGATGTTATTCTCGAGGCTGCGTAACGATTAAATTTAACGCATTGAGACGCCGGTGTCGGCAAACAGGCGAGAATTAATGGAAACGGCATTAGGACTACTTCAAACGTTGAAGAGGCGCCCGATAGATCGGGGATCGTATCTTGAATTGCCTTAATGGCTTCCGCAGCTTCCGGGTCTTTTAGAAATTTATCTCAATTCAGATCGCAGAGAGACGGTGTGTTACATTATTTCGCCTTTGAAGTTGTATATATTATAAATACATTAACTCGCCATCCTTATTTCTCCGATACGGAACGTGTTTCCATTGCTTTTTAATAGACCGTATTCCTGCATGCGATTTCTATGAACAGAAAATTGCGGGCGCGTAGTAAAATGTACATAAAAAAAAGCACATCCTCAAAGCGATATCGAAACGTGACGGGGATGCTTCAACAACGCCGCTACAAAGAGACCGGAAATTAAATATTGAAAATGTTAATGAGAAAGGTATTTTTTTTCTAACTTTCTCATCACGGCGCGAACGTTAACGTTTATATTAAATAAAAATCCGCTCGTACATTGGATACCAAGATAATTTAAATTATCGTACACTCGCAACAAAAAATATTACGTTGGAACTTTTCCAATGAAATACACACTTCGTTTTCGAGGCCTCAGATTTCCAGCGTCATGCACGGGTCTTGGGTAAATGTATCGTGGAAACGTCAGGCATTTGCATTTGCATTTGAGACCCCCGAGGATCTGCAGGTGACATTGGGAATCGAAGGGTCAACCCCGCTTAATTCGCGGCACAGAATTCAGCCTGGTCGCCGACCCCGCGGTCGAATAATGCGTCTCGTAAACTCGGGCCGCGACGTGATCCGCATCTGTGACGAGGACGGCGGAGCTCGTTGACCGTAATCGACGACGGATCATCGGATATCGACACGCCCGGTTTCGCGGTTGCACGTCCCGACAGGCGATGCGCCGCGCTCGTCGTCACTCGATCAATGAGTCATCGCGGTCATCGCGGGCCGATGAATGGAAAAATTGGGGCTCCGCCGCGGGAGCGTAATGAAGCCGGGAAATCACGAGCCTAGAATAGCTAGAGGAACGATGATCCGCGATCGAAGGGAGTGGTTCGTATACTTTCGCGATAACACAGAGTTGGTATTTTTAAGGCGATTTCTCCGAAATCGAAAAAGTTTCAGGATACGAGAGAGTCTGAGAGTTTGGCAAAACGATAGGTCTGATCAATTTCTTTTCGTAACTTACGATATCTATGAGATATACTCTAAAATGAGCACCATGAAAGAAGCGTATCTCTTGCGAAGCACGTGCTACGTTATAGAGTCACGTAACAAAGATATGCGTTGTCATAGCATATTTCGAGATGTCGTACTATCATAATGTGGCTGTCACTGCTCGTTCATGAGATATTCTAGGAGATATATTCAAAAATTACATCTGAATGTCTTTCTGCAGAACAAAAATTTAAATTGGATTTTAGATGATAAATTAAGGTCGTAAATTAATTGTAAGGAACTTAAGGCTTCTCGCAGATTAAAATTTGTCTCATTTTTTTAATGCCTTTAATTTTTATATATTTCCATTATATTCTGATATTGTTAACTTTATAAAATTTTTTTATAATGTACGTAAATCACTAAAAAAGTTTAAAAACCGGAGCAGCTAGAAGGTATAGATTTGATGTCTGTGTATCGCGATATATATATATATTGCGAAGAACAGTCTCCTGGGAGCTTAGAATCCCCGCGTGATCTTTGTGATATCCGCTTCAAATATATAGACGCGCCACTCAGACATTTCCGGCTAAACCTCCAGCTCCATTTCCTGTAGCCTCTATAATGTAGCCTCTGTGCTCTTCCGGTAGCTCGCAACGTTCCGCGCAATTGACATCTTTTTCGTGGGAAATTTCCGCTTGACCGGAACTGATTGAGCTCCCACGAGCGAACTAAAATCACAAAGATCATTCGACCGATCGACTGAGATTAATTGCAAAAGCGACCATTCGACTTCGTCTATTTATGCGCGAAAAACCACGGTAGAGTTTATCTGAGAAGAAGTTCGACGTTGAAAGATGGAAACGTCTTTTCAACCAATGTCCGATTTTTGCAATCGAGTTTCTATAAGTTCATCTTTTTAATTTGATACCGAAGATCATTGATTTCATTTGATATATCCGTCCATGGGATTAAATAATAAAATGAAAAATATCGGAGTGATAGTTATTTTATTGGCCAAGTTGAAACCATGAAACACATCGCGGATAAGTTTGACCGAGATATCCCAACAATTTATGATCCGTCTCCTTCGAGTTTCTTACGCGAAAGACATTCTTTGCAGCAGATTCTTTTATTTTAATAACATGCATTATTCCTTCATAATATTTCGCATGGTTATGACATTGACTTACAAATCACAACTATTATAACAATATGACATCCTCTGATTTTTTTGAACAGTTTTGATGACATTAGAGATTACGGAAAAGAAAATCACTTTAAAAGTTCAAAAGATTGTTTTATCCGTTAAAACCGTCTTTTATCCGTCACGAGAAACGAGCATAAGTTCTTGAGCTATCTCACAAAGTTTCAGATTCTCTCGATTTTAGTTCCAAGTTGCCAAACTACTCGTGTAAGTTATACCTCGCAAATGTACGGATGAGGTGAATCTATCGTTCGTCGAACTTCATATACGATTTCAATCAATTTTTCAATGATACGCGTTACTCCCCGAATCGCGAAAACACACATTCGATCGCGTCTGCTGTCTCAAAGCCGCTAGAGATTGAGAGATATGGACTCTCTCGATTATGATTTTCTCGATGTAGACCCGGACGAACGACGAGAACACCCGGCTGCCGTCGGGTCTCTACGACGTGATCCTGAGCGCCGACTGCCTCTTCTTCGACGACGCACGTCTGGATCTCGTGGAGACGATTTACGGCTGGCTGACCGACGACGGGGTCGCGCTGGTGATGGCGCCCAGACGCGGCGCGACATTCCAGAAGTTCGCCGAGGCGTCGATCAAGCGCGGCTTCATAGCGCGCCAGACGGAGCGGTACGACGACGCGGTGTGGTCGAGGCATCTGGAGCTGCTGGAGAACAGCCCGGAATACTGCCCGGATCTGCACTATCCGGTGCTGCTGGAGCTCACCAAGCAGAAGAAGACGCCGCCCGGATGATCGGGCTCGATCGACGAGGACGAGAGTCTCTTCCTCAGCGAGGAATGAAACATGTCTTTTTCTTTTGAAATATATATAATGCACACTTTGCTCCGTAATAGAATTATCGCGTACAGGGAATGAATGTATCGCTTCCGAGTGAAGACGCGCGTTCGCTCAGTCATGGAATATAAAGATGCATAAAGCTGCCTTTATATGTCGTCCGGCAATGTCAAGGCCGACTTTTTATTAGTGCGTCTGATAAAACGTTTAGCGGTCACATCCACTCGCGGATCGATCTTCCGCTCGTACGCATCGTTCCACATCGTCGCTGCTATCGGAAAAGTTCCATAAGGAAGGTATTTATGTGCGACGTGCGAGAGTCGCTCGGCGAGCTCTGTTGATCATGCCCGATTCTTTCCCTCCCCTCGTTAATTAACCCAGCGTTTTGCAGTAAATACTCGACATTTTAATGAATGAGTGCGCATATTTGAAAGTACAAATGTTAATTATAACATTCGTGCTTTTAACGTTTCACGTATTTATTCGAACTTAATTTGCGTATTATCAATTTAATAGACGTATATTTATTTAGAGCGCGCCTCGTAGCGCGGATTATTTGCGGCAAATACCATAGTATGCGGAGTGGGGTGCAACGGGCCGTAATCCTTTGCTTTAAATTAGTTTAAAATATCGTAGAGCCCGCGGATATTATTCTCATTCGCAGCAGGTGAGACTTCTGGCAGCATTTTGCCACGCGGTATATGTATATCGGGAGATAGGAATTGAGCGAGCACCAACGACCGAATAGAAAGTTTGGGAATTATTGAATTTTACGATGAGGAAGAATGTCGAAACTTAGAGCTATTTTGGAAATAATTATGTCATGATACACATCGGACGCGACAGAGATCATACAGAAAATAGGACTATAATGTTCAATTAGCCAAAGTTTTCGAGGATTAATCGTCGATCTAATAATTCATCGGTATTGATATTCGACCAAACGTGTTTATGAATTACGAATTTTTCCAAAATAGATAATGTAGTATCCGTTGCTACTCTCGTCAAATTTTTTCATCTGATAAAACGTAATTCTTGGTAGGGAGGATCTTTCTTAGGCGCGTACCTGATTTTATATCGAACCGGGATAGAAATGTCGGGAAAGGCGATCGAGTTCCGGGCTCGCGCATTAAAGTGTCATTTATAACACCGGGACACGCGATACTGGCAATTTTATCAATCATCAATTAAACGTCATCGATACTAAGTAGATAGATCGAGCAATCTCTCGAGTTCCACGTTCTTCGCAGCCGGCAGGACCAATTACATAGGACCGAGTAATGTTTAGATACAGCCGAACCATGACTGGTAGACTGCGAAGTCATTTCCTGCGAGTTCTGTTTATCGCAAAACTGCGCTAAAAGACATCTTTGTATTCTTGAATAAGGAAGAGGGATATCAATGTTTAATGTTAATTGGGTCCAAAAATAAAGCGAAATCTCGGGCAGGACCGAAATATTGGACAATTGCCGATTCAGCGGTCTGATACTGAATCCAAAATGTTAATGAAATATTAACTATGATTGTTACTGTAAACAAGATGCAGATATAGATCGTTATAATCGATGCACAATGACATAGTTGCAGGATAAATTTAAGGAGACGAATTCTTAACGCAAAAATCGACTTTGCCTTATTCATATTACATACGTTGTAGTAATTTATTTATTTATTTATTTAGGTGCGTTTACATCCATTGCGACGAAGGAATTCTCGTGTATGTATTTTCTAAGCGTCTCCGATCGCGTTATGAACCTGTTACCTCAAAGGACCAATATTTATAGGCATATAGTTAAGTCTAGTCAGAATTACCAAACGTACTTCCATTATTACGTATGTATCTTCTTATATAATACATAGGCCAAGTGTCCATAAAATCTCCCTCTATGCTCTACTGTAAAGATGGCGTTTTAATAAATCAGATTAATTAGAAGGAAATTCAGTTGCACGGGAAATGTCACACCGAGATAGTGGAGGCTAGTTTAATTAGAAAAATCGATACTATTCTGACGTACGATCGTTTTTTTGTATAACTTGCGGTTTGAGATTAAAATCAGCGGACACTCGTTTTCCCAGGGCTGCTAATCCACGTGGCTAGACGGGAGAATTTATGGACCCTTTTGCAGGCCCTAGAGAGCCATTTGTGTACACGTGCATTATGCGCGAGAGAACCTCTATAGTAATAAACTATTTTCACTTATAAAACATTTTTCTCGCGTCGACCATCATCACCCCTTGCGGACGGAGATAATGCAATCGTCACGTTGCGCTCGCGTCGGCGTGACGTCGAAGAAACGCCGTTGACAAATCCACAACGACGCGGTCGCGCGCCGCCGCGTCAGAATAAATAATAACCCGTTTAGCGTTCGTCAAACATCCTGCCTATCC